AGCATGCACCCTATAACAAAAATCTCAAGGAAAAAAAGGTGTCCTTTAAATGTAATGATCTTAATCTCCAGTTTATTGATATTATTACATTATATTCCTTTTGTCCAAATATGGACCTTTGCTAAGAAAAAAAATCCTTGAGTCATTCCTGGAAGCTAATTTTGGAGACTTCCCTCACTCATCATAATAAAGCTTTTCAGGCTATTTCATAGTCTTTAGAAAGTACTATGATTTTCTACAGTATTCAACTAAAAGATATCTTGGTTATAACCTCAGTAACAAGCACCTACTCTCCTGAACTGTCTGGTCTAAGGACGACTCTTAATCATGCACCTTTATTTACAGTCAGATCTTCACATACTGTAATGCATATTACATATTATTCCTAACATTTCTTGAAACTCTAGTGTCAAAACTATTTCCAGGAGCCAGCAGTTGTGCAAAAGGGATGCAACACTGTGCAAGGCTGGCTCCACATGAGAAGGTCCCTAGTTCACATCCCAGAGCCTCCCTGTAGAGTCGGTGTGTGTGTGTGCACCCATAATCTGAACAGGCTGAAGCGTGGGGTGGGTTATGGAAGATCCTGTCGGGGTTGTGTGCTCTCTTTTTAATGAAAAAAGAAAATTAAACTTTAAAAAGAACACACTACTCCTAGTATGGACACAAAGTGGTATGAAAACACAGTGGACTACTGTGGGGTAGACTACAGGGCTACACTACACCTCAGCATCACCCCAGGAACACATCTTCTAGGGTGCAGTATAAAGTGTTTGCTCACTGAAGGGTGCAGTGTAATTCGCTATAAACACTCCATCTTTCCACATATTCATACAAGCACCAGAGATGCTGAACATGGCACCTATCAGAACAGAAACCCTAACATTTTTACAAATTCAAACAAACTACAAATTTAAAGCAGACTATAAAATTGAAGTAAGAAATTTCAGAGTATTAGACTGCCCTCTTACTGACCAACTGATACAAGTACAGGGTGATGAACTTTACAGGAATAAAAAAAAAGTATTTATTTTTAAGTATTTAAAATTCTTATTTGAGAGCTTGTAGAATTTTCAGGAAAACCAAAAATGTAAAGTGTTCTCACGAAGCAATTCAACTCAGTGTCTCAGGCCTGCTAGTTGACTTTTCAAAGTTTTTCTGTTCATCTGCATTATAATATTCAGAAGGTCTCCCCCCCACCCAGTATTTATAATAGCCATGCTTAGTGAGGATATAGGATATACAACAAACACAGATGACCTGGTAGGTTCCTACAGCAAGAGGAAAGGCACACTGAAAACTATAGATAGGTCAGACCCATTCTTACCCCAAAACTGAAGTTAAAAATACAAAGGGTGTAGTCTCCCCTTAAGTTAGGTTTCATTTTCTGCAGTTTCAGTTACTAGTGATCAGGTCTGAAAATAGGTGATTACAAAACAATAATATTATTTTGAGTGAGACAGAGAAAGAAAGGAGGAGACTTACCATAGGATATGATTATCATTGTTCTACTTTATTAGTTATGGCTGTGAATCTCTTACGGTTTCTAACTTAAGAATTAAACTTTACCATAGGTATATATGAAATTAAGGAGTGTACCCAGTCCTATGTATAGCATATTTTTTCATTTAAAAAAGTCTTAAGTCTCTTAAAGTGGAGGAGACATTTTTAAAAGAAAAAACATAATGTACATAGGACTTGGTACGCTTTTCAATTTCAGGCAGCCATTGGGGACATATCCCCTTGGAGTGTACCCCCTGCAAAGACAGAGGAATTGTAACTTGTACATCTCTGTGCTGAATTTTCCCAGTACCAACATGAGCCAGGAATTGCATAAAACAGAGACTCATGGAGAACAGTACCTTGCTTTAGATTTAAAAAAGAAAACTAGTAAATAATGGCTGTATAGCACGTATAAGTCCCAAACTCAAGTTCTTCCCCTGGAGGTGTCTGGATTAGGAGGCCTCGAAGACATGAATACAGTGTACAGAAATAGCAGAAAGCTAAAACAGGCATCACAAACTAACAAGGTTAGTTCCGTGCATGTGAATTTACTGCAGCACAAAACTACCTCAAAACCACCAGTCAGATTTGTTGTTGTTATTTACTTGTTTTGTAAGGGAGTAAATAGAGCAAAACAACAGAGGAACAAACTGTAATGAAAAAGACCTAAATACATCTAAAATAACAATATTACTGGTTTTAATGCAAACTCTTTTCATGGTAATTTGTCTGCATACATTGAAGTAAAATCTGACAATAGAAAAGAGTGTTTTATGAGCCATCTTTTAAAACATTGCCTATTTCCATTAGGGATACCTAAAGGAGAAAAAAATTCCCTCAAAGCATCGGATACAATGTGGAATACCTTACAGAAACATTTGTGCGACTGCTTTCCTAGCTGTAGGATTCATAGGTTACATCTCATTATCAACCAAAGTTTTCATTCAGAAAGCATGGCAGTCAAACATAAAGGGAGCAACTGAAAAATGAGATAGGAAGATAAAACGAACCATCAAAAAAAACAGAGTTAAACACTTAGCTCTTATACTAAATATCAAGAAACATTCACATCACCCTAATTTAAGTAAAAAGCTTCGAAAGGCAGAGAATTGTGCACTTTAGCCCCCTTAACTAAATTAAAATGTACTTACCCTGAATGTCCTGATTCTTAATACACAAAATTTATTTGAAATAGATATTAAAAAGCTGCTCTTTTCCTCCTCCTAATCTTCAAAGCCCAATCCGAAACCAGCCTTCCTCCTCCTTTCTTAGCTGGACATGTGTCAGCTCTCTCACATCTGCGATTTCTCACTGACTGGAGCTGCCTGTCCCATTCCAGGGAAACACAGATGGATCCCAGATGGGAAGGTCCTGCCAAACAGACCAGCTCTTCACCTTGCCAGAATCCCCAGATACAGTCTCTCTCTGTCTCTCTGTTCTCCCTCCCTCCTGCTTCCTCTCTCTCTCCTCTACCCTCCAAACCCTCCCTGTTACCAGGGCTCTTTGCCAGCTGATGTCACTAAGTACACACCTCCCAGTGGCTCCTGGCCAATCTGACATTAACTTGTTAAATACGTGTAATTTGTTTATGGCTGACAATAACAGCAAGGATATTGTGCAAAACCTATCTGTGCAAGTCCCTAGTGGAATAACACGTAGAAACATACATAGACGCACAGGCTCACATTTTTGGGAACATTCAAATGTTTAGCAATTACCATGTAAAGTCCTACATATTGTCTGGTTTCTGCTATTGTTTAATAGCTTCTGCTCTTTGAGCCAGGTTTTAAATCCTACACATGAGAAATTCCTTCTTAAAATAAATTATTAAAAATCTGCTTTCAACATGTAATTGGATGAGAAGTATAAAGTTGCAAATTAATTTGGAGAATATAAACAGAAATGTATGTAAATGACTCACACAAGCTGCCTCTCAGATCCAGACTTGGTAGCACTGCAAAACTGGCACGTGATTAAAATAAGACAATGCAGGCAACATGGTTCTGATGCTGTAAAGATTATAAATGAAAGATGGGGACACAATACAAAAATTATTTTAAAACAAGGCAAAAAGAATGTGAAGAATTACATGACTTTTAACATTAAAAGAGCTGCTAATATAAGTTTCAACCATGAACAGACAAAATAAAAAAACGTTTTTAGAAACAATTACAGTAGGAATCCAGGGAGAGATAGAACTGCACGAGGTCAGAATGTATTCCTTTATACCTCAAGAGCAAGCATATACAAAGGTATTTCAAAAAATTCATGGAAAATGGAATTAATGTAGAGGTTTATTTGGATACAAAAAATTCAAATCCATCCATGGTTTTTTCATGATACACATTTTCCATGAGCTTTTAAAAGACGTCTAGTAATAGCTGCTTGTAATTTCTGCTAAAACAAAATCAATGATTGAAAATTAATACTAGGGACAGTCCATGGCATGTTGGTTAAGGTGGTAGGATCCCAAGTGGCTGACTATGTGGTTCAAGTCCCAGACTTGGTGGCTTAAAAACACACTGGGGGGAGTGGAGCAGCAGGTGGCATAGTGGTTAAGGCACTGGACTCCCACATGGCCGACCATGCTTAAGGCCCCAGACCTGGTTGTCTTGAAACTCATGCTAGGAACATGTGCATGTGTTCCCAAAAATCCTGAGAAGAGGAACAGAGAAAAAGGGATGGTGGTGTGGCCACCCCATTGTGGGGTGATTTACTGCTTTCTGTCTCCCTGTCTCTCTGTCTATCTAGCAAGCACATGTGTCCTATAGCAAAAATCTCTCAAAAACAAACAAACAGAACCCACTGGGTATGGATGCGTATGTGCCCAAACTCCTGAAAGGAAAAGGGATTATAGTGTGGTCATCCCCCCTGGGGGAACAATTTCTCACTTTCTCTCACTCTCCCTTCCCAGTGAGCATACGTGCCCTATATATAGCAAATTTAAAGAGAAAGAAAAGAAAATTGATACTGTGCTATAATTATAGAAGATGTTACCACCGGAATAAACTGAGTGTCCACTGTACCTCCCTATACATTTTTTTAAACTTCCTATGACTCTATATTTTAAAGTAAGAAGTTAAAGTGGGAGTCCTTGGCTTCTTCCTGGGTCACATCACATGAACACAAGTCTTACACTAAAAGCAACATGAACACAGATTAGAATGAAAGATCTTCCACTTAACAATAAAGCAGATGTGGTTATAATCCTCTAACCCTTAATCTTTGACATCATACTTGAAATATCTGGACTCTATAAACAATTCTTCTGTCACAACAATTTCTGGAAAAAGGGAAGACTATTTCTGTCAAGGGCAACTTTACAACTAGATTCCAAATCTTCCGTTCACCCCAGGGGTGATGGTAGTAACGGCAGCTGCGGTGCTTACCCCGAGCACTCACCAAGTATCGGAGCCTGTTGTAACCGAATGGATTGTCACCAAGATTCTACATTACAGGGTAGATAAGGTAAGTATTATTACCTCAGTGTTACAGCTAAGGAAAGTACACTTAGGCACAAAGAAATGTATGCCACCTAGCTAGTGTCACCACCATAGAGCCTGGACCCACAGCCAAAGCACTGAACTGCTGTTGAGTAGGAAAATGAATCAAAAGATGCTACTGGCTGTCCTGGATTACTCGCTCTGAGGAAGCCAGCTACCATGTCGTAAGATCCTGAAGCAGCCGTGAGATGAGGTCCACATGGTGAGGAACTGAGAGCTCTTGCCAACAGCCAGTATCAAAGTGCTTGCTATGTAAGTAAAAGCCATCTTTGCCGCAGACACCAAGCCACGACTACTCAGCATAGTCACTTCAGAATTACAATCCACAGCAACTGCTTGAGAGAGTAAATATTTCTTTTTTTTTAAGAATTATTTTTATTTGACTTTATTTATGTATTTATGTATTTATTTTTTTAATTTGACCAGAGAGGGACAGAATGAGAGAGAGGGGGGGAAAGTGAGAAAGCAAGCCACCAAGTCCAGGACTTGTTCTGTGGTCGGCCATGTGGGAATCCGGTGCCTTTAACCACCACACCACCTGCCAGCCCCAAGAGTAAATATTTCTTACTGCTTAAAAAAGAGGGGAAATGGCTTTATAATTTTTAACCACCCAGATTATGAATCCTTAATACCATTTCCCAATAAAAGGAAGCAGGACACTTTAGAAAAATAGGTTACATCTGGGAGTAGGAAACGTACAAGGCATGTTATGTCAGAACACGATTAGTCAAAGATTTTAAAGTTGTGTCTCGAATCTTTTCTTTTTTCTTTCTTTTTTTTTTTTGAGATTTTTGTTATAGGGTGTGTGTGCTCACTGAAAAGACACAGACAGACAGACAGAAAGTGAGAAATCACCCCCCCCCCACGGAAGGGGGCCACACCAACACCACAACCCTTTCTCCTCCCAGGATTTTGGGCACGAATGCACATGTGCCCGGCGTGAGTTTGAAGCCATCGGGTCTGAGTTTCAAACCACAGTCAGCCATGAGCAAGTCCAGTGACATAACCATTATACCACCTGCTGGTCACCCTGTATCTCAAATCTTAAAAAGCCAACTCAAAGAGGCTCTCAATAACAAAGGTAGATCATTTGAACATCAATAACAACAACAAAAAACCTGCAATGAGTAAATATACAGCAGAATATCTGAATTCATGAGTTCATACTTGTACTTATAAATAGATTTATATGGGCCAGCAGGTGGCATGGTGGTTAAGGGTGCTGTATTTCCACATGGCCAACCGCAGTTTGAGTCCTAGACCTGGCAGTTTGCTTTCTCACTTTCTCTCACTCACTGGTCAAATTAAAATAAACAAACAAACAAAGTTAAATAAAAAAATAACTTTAAAAAGCAAAAAGACTAGCATTAACAGCCAATTTTATAGAGCACAGCAATATATTAATGACAGGACAATCTACAGTTGTGGGAAGTTTTGTAGTCCAACAACTTAGATTCTCAGAAAAAGAAAGGAGGATGTGAATTGAAGGAGAACCTATGTATTATGCATTAGAGAAACAAAATACTTAACAAATGCAACATGTTTGGACCTTGTTTGGATTCTGCAGCAAACAAACTATAAAATAAAAAAAAAAAAAACAGCTTGTGAAATCACAGGGAAATTAAAGACTCAGTAGATATTTAATTGTATTGACAAATTATTTTGGAGCCAGCCCTGTAGTACAGTGGTTAAGCACTATGAAAATGCAGGTGGATCCACATGGCTGACCACAGTCCCAGCCCTAGTAGCAACATGCTAGGAGCACATGTGTACATACTGAGAAACCTGGAAAAATGGAGGAAAAAAGGATCGCAATGTGACCAGACTCCATTGGATGGCTCTCACTCTCATACACCTTATGGCATTAGAAAAAGAAAAAATATATATTTTTGTTTCAACATAATAAAAGCGTTGTGGCCTAACCTGGTGGTGCACTCCAGAGCAAACTGAACTGCAATGCTGGAAGCCAGGTGGCCAACCATAATTTGGTCCCAGGACTGCCTTGAAAACATTAAAGGGACATTGTGTGTACCCTGAGGAGCTGGAGAGCTGAGGACAGGGGACAGTGACAGGACACAATTCGGTTGACAGCGCTTTGCTCACTCTCACCCTCTCTCTTGCACATGCAGTGTCAATCATGAATAAAGTAAATGAAGTTTAGAAAAAGGTATGTGATTATGTTTGTGAAAAGTCATTATCGGGCAAGCCCTTGTCCTGGTGGTTAGGGAAGCTGGCTCCTGCATGGCCAACGATGTGTCTTGGATCCTGTCTCCAGGGACTTGAAAAACACATATAAAATGTGGCTAAAAATCTCCACAGACTGGAGAGATGGGTTGAGGGTATAGGATTGCAGCATGGCCATACGCCATTAGGGGGATAAGTGAAAGGGAGGTATGCACAGTCTTTCACACACACGTGCCCTCTGGCAAATTTAGATTAAAAAAAAAAGAGAGAGAGAGAGGGCCAGGACCAGCAGGAGGCATAATGGTGAGGTAGCTGGACTCCCATGAAATCAACCGTGGTCAGAGTTCTGGACCCGATTCCAGTCCCAGACACAACAGCTTGAATTCATGCCAGCGCATGTGTGTGCATGTCATGCGTGCTCAAAAATCTTGGTATTTTTTTCGGAGAGGTTTTTGCTATAAGGGTGCTCTCCAGAGAGACAGAAAGCGAGAAATCATCCCCCAGGGGGGATGGCTATGCCATAATCCCTTCTCCTCTATTCTCCTCTCGGGATCTTGGGCACGCACGCAAACGTGCCTGGCTTGAGTTTAAGCCACCGAGTCTGGGACTCAAACCACGGTCAACTACGCATGTGAGAGTCCAGTGACATAGCCATTACGCTAACTGCTGGTCCCTGTGCTCAAAAATCTTGAGAAGATAATGGAGGAGGAGGGATTGCAGTGTGGCCATCCCTACCAGGGGGTGATTTCATGCTTTCTGTCTCTGCCTCTCCTTGAGTGTGTGCACCATACAGCAAAATCTCTAAGAAAAAAAAAAAGAGAGGCCATCAAGTGGCGTAGTAGTTGTTGTGGCACTGGACTCTCACATGGCCGACTGTGGTTCAAGTCCTGAACTTGGAGGCTTGAAACTCATGTGTGTGTGTGTGCCCAAAATCCTGAGGAGAATGGAGAAGGGATTGTGGCATAGCCATTGCCCAGGAGTGAGGGGAATTTCTCACTTTCTCTCTCTCCCTGTCTCTGGCAAGTGTACATGCCCTACAGCAAAAATCTCATTTAAAAAAAAGAAAAAAGAAAACAAAAACAGGATATACATATCATTTCAAAATAAATCCTCGAAATTACTTATTAATCACAAAGAAAGTAGTCACTTTGCAGTAGGGTTACATGGCAGATTCAGCAATAAGGAAATTAATCAATCATCGAGAGAAATCGACATCATGTGCCTTCCTAAATTAAATATTAAGGATAACAAACAGCATTTACATTGCAGTCCAGCCAAAAAGTTATAACATAAAGTTAACCATAGGATAACGTCAAACAAACCCAAACTAAGTGCAAAATAAGTCTAAATTCTTCAAAACTTTCAAGGTCAAGAAAGGAACAGGGGGACCAGCAGTTAGTGTAATGGCTATGTCGCTGGACTCCCACATAGTCGACCGCGGGTTGAGTCCTGGACCCGGTGGCTTAAAACTCACGCCGGGCGCGTGTGCATGCGTGCCCAAGATCCCGAGAGGAGAATGGAGAAGGGATTGTGGCGTGGCCAGCCCCCCTGGGGTGTGATTTCTCGCTTTCTGTCTCTCTCTGTCTGGCGAGCGCACACACCCTATAGCAAAAACCTCTCAAAAAAAAAAAAAAAAAGACATTTCTGGGATAATATATAAAATTTAAGTATATTCTGTAGGAGCCAGTAGGTGGTGTGGTGGTTAGGGTACTGGACTCCCACATGGTTGACCATGATTTGAGTCCTGGACCTGGATTCTTGCTTTCCCTCTCTGTATCTCTGGTGAGCCTGTGTGCCCTATGGCAAAATTAAAATAGTAATGAATAAAATTGAATAAATAATTCATTTTTAAAATAAGATAGAATAAATGGGGACCAGCAGATGGCGTAATAGCTATGTTGCTGAACTCCCATGTAGCCGACCGCGGTTTGAGTCCCAGACCCAGTGGCTTAAACTCACACCGGGCGCGTGTGCATGCGTGCTCAAGATCCTGAGAGTAGAATGGAGTAGGGATTACGACATGGCCATCCCCCCTGGGGAGTGATTTCTCGCTTTCTGTCTCTTTCTGATGAGCGCATGTGCCCTATAGCAAAAACCTCTCCAAAAAAATTGAAAAATACTAATAAATAAAATTGAATAAATATTCGTGAATTAGGTAAAAGTGCAGTATCAAATTACTTTTATTTCAACCATCACACTGTAACTGATATAAGATAAGACCTTTGTTTAGTAAATATTCATTAAATTTTTTAGGGGCAGAAGGACATATTTCCATTTCCAGAGTGGTTCATGAAAAAACTGTATAAACATACACACACAATGATAAAGCAAACAGGGCAAAATGTAAACAATTAGTGAACAAGAGATTTTATTTATTTATTTTTTTAATTGCCAGAATATATGTGTGCTTACCAGAGACAGAGAAGAAAGAGAGAGGGAGAAAGCCCTCCCCAGCGGGGCATGGTCATGCTGAAATCCCCTCTCTATATCTCCATCCTGTCAGGATTTGAGGCAGGCATGCATGTGCACACACACACACACGACTGATGTGTTTTTCCAGCAGCTGGGACTTAGATTCAAACCACAACTGGCCATATGAGATCCATCACTCTTAACACTAGGCAAGGGGAACAGCCCTGTAAGTTTTTTGTTTTGTTTTGTTTTGTTTTTTAAGAATAATTTTATTTAACTTTATTTATTTATTTTAATTTGCCCAGAGAGGGACAGAGTGAGACAGAGAGAGAGAGAGAAAGAGAAAGGTGTTAAGTTCAGGAGGACTCAAACTGCATCAGTCATGTGGGAGTCCAGCACTCTTAACCACCATGCCACCTGCCAGCCCCAAGCCCTGTAACTTTTTATTGCATAAAAAAAAGGAACTTTTCAAAAAGAAAACTTTCTCATTCATGACAATACAGCTTGAAAATTCTGTTAACATGCAGAGTAGTTTCTCTGTATTATTTATTTATTTATTTTTGGGGAGGTTTTTGCTATAGTGCGCATGTGCTCACCAAAGAGAGACAGAGACAGAAAGCGAGAAATCACCCCTCAGGGGGGATGGCCACACCATAATCTTTCTCCTCCATTCTCCTCCTGGGATCTTGGGCATGCATGCACATGCATCTGGCGTGAGCTTAAGCCGCTGGGTCCGGGACTCGAACCATGGTCGACTATATGGGAGTCCAGTGACATAGCCATTACACCAACTGCTGGTCTCAAAAATTTTTAGTTTTTTCTATAGGGCACATGAGGCAGAGAGAGATGTGCGTGGGGGGTTGGTCTCATCACAATCCCTTCTCCTCCATTTTCTTCTAGGGATTATGGACACACACAGCACATATGCCTGGTGTGGTTTTCAACCTACCAGATCTGGACCTCGAACCAGAGTCTACCATGTGGGACCAGTCACTTTAACCTCCATCCACCTGGCTGGCCCTCTATATAGCTTTAACAACATGCTCTTAATAGTCTCTCCTTTGACTTCTCAGTCTAATGATTGCAACTAAATGTTATGATGGGTCTCAAAAATAATTCTTTTTTTTAATTGAGAGGATAATAGACCCAGAAAGGTCTATTTAGCACCTTGGGTTTATTATTATAGGGAAGCAAACTGCAGCATAATATAGATAAAACACATTTAAAGTTAACCAATCAGAAACAGACAACTAACTTTTCACTTGGGACTTTCCACAGGATGAAACCCAAATAAGGGAAAAAGCCAGCATTAGCCAGTCGAGCATTTCTTTACTTTGCTAGCACGGTCAGCATATAAATGCCTACTGCCAAAGCAGAGATCTTTGAACGCCTAGATTTTTGTCCGAGCCTCTTCATATTTTCAGTGCTGTCTGAATACCTTAATGCACAGATTCTGCTAAATGTTCTGTTTGAAGTTTTTCTTTAAATAGTTATAAACATTAATTTATTTTTAATTATTTTCTTATGTTCATTTTATACCTAATTAGAGCCACTGCTTAATGTGTAAGAAACATAGACATTATATAACTTAGAAACATAAAAATAAAGATTCTGCCAGTATGCTTAAGATCCAGACCCATGAGTTGATCCATCAGATCAAACATCTCCTCAAGCACCTAAGATGACTCTATTCTTGCAAACGTCAGAAAATTAACACTGAAACTTGCAGTCAACTTGCTTTTCACTGTATTATATCCATTTTTATACACAGCTGCTGAAATTAGTGACTTGGAATCTTTTTAGTCATTTATAAGCAAAATAATAATACAGACATCACATTACAAAAGTAGATTGTAACACACCAAAAATATTTCAATATACATTTTAATTTATGCCAAAACTATTTTTATTTTTAAATTAATATAATAGCTCATGTTTTACTTACAAAGCAATACCAGTTAACAAAACTACATGTATACTAGTTAAAGTGGAGAAGTAAAAATACATTATTATTATTTAAGTTTTTTTAATGGAAAGTCATTCCAAGATCAGTGTCCCAAAAAATCCAGAAAGGAGAATCAAAGAGAAGGGACTGCAGCATCCCTGGGGGGGTGTTTTCTTACATCCCCCCCCCTTTCTGTCTGTCTCCAGGGAGTTCAAGTGCCCTATAGCAAATTAGAATACACAAACTAAATCACTTCTATAGCATCTACCAACCAGAAATGAAATAAATTTTTCAAAAACCCTTAGGCAGGATTTGCAGGATTGCATAATGAGAAGTCTCCAAGTCCAAAAGAATTAGATGATGATCTACAGCAGAGGTCAGCAAACTGCAGCCTGCTTATTGTTCTAGTAAATAGTTTGACTGAACAGGACCATGTCTGTCTATTCCTTTACAAATTGTCTGTCTATGGCTGGTTACCACTCAACAACTGAGTTAGGTCAGTGATCAGGTAACTCACAAATCAAAAACATTTATTTACTAACTGGCCCATTATAAAAAACTAAACTCTGATTTATAGCAATAGAGTAGGCTTTAGGAAAAATTTCAGGACACCCACGTGGTGTGTGGTTAGGTGAATGAATCCCACATGGCTGATTAAATTGTTCAAGTCCTGGACCTGGAAGTTTGAAAAGCACACCTTACTGTGGGGAAGCAGGTGGCATGGTGGTTAAGGTGCTGGACTCTCACATGGACAGTCATAGTTCGAGTCCTGGGCTAATGGCTTGCTTTCTCACTTTTTCTCTCTCTGGTGAGCACACCTTCCCTACAGCCCAGTTTTTTTAAAAATAACAATAATAAATAAAATTAAATGAATGATCCTTAGGGGAAAAAAAACACACCAGGCGCATGTACGTGCATGCCCAAAACCTGAGAGAAGAGAGGAGGAGGGACTGCAGCATGGCCATCTTTCCTGAGGGAGGGGGTGGAGGGTGTTTACTCACTTTCCCCCTCTCTGTTTCTCTCTCCCAGGAATGTGTGTGTCCTCTAGCAAATTTTTTAAATAAATAAATAAAAAGGAGATGAAGATTATGTCAAGTTACCTCAGGCAAACAGTAACAGAATATACCAAAACCCTGAGATGGGATGAGGTATAGCTAGCATAAAGAATGAAAAGTTGGCTTGACTAGAGCATTAGACTGGCAAAGAAGATGGAGCACATAGGCAAGGGGACAGAACTCAGAGCTTTGTTGGTGTGGAGGGGACAGCACAAGCCAATCCGTCTCAGGTCCTACATGTCAGATCATCTTTCAAACTCCTCCAAGGACAAAGGCTATCTTACTTTCAGATCCACAGGTCCTGGCCCAGTGTGTAAGGGTGCTTGACACATGTTTAAAGTTTGAAATATAGAACAGATTGGAAAATGTGTTTTCCTTTTTAAGTTATTTACAGAAAACATTGCAAGAGACACTGAATTTCCCTTAAAATTTAACAGGAAGAGTCTGGATTATCTGAATTACTAAACCTCTCATCTGTCAAATAAGAGGACAGTATTAGCAAGGTGTTATGGGAGGTCCCTTGCAGCACTGGTTTTTCTCCCTAGAACTTGTTTAAATTGGTCCAGATCCAGTTATGTCCCCATGTAGTCTCATAAAATCAAGTCAAATAACCTGAAAATAAAATAGAGACTTGGGGATAATAAGAAACAAAATATTCTATGTAACTTTACATTTTATATGACAATATATAGGCTTCTAACTTATTAGTTATGAACGACTTCATAATTTGCTGATTATTTGCTGTACAGAACATAATAAAGCTTGGAAAAATTGTGTCCAAAGAAATAAATCAAAACAAAACACAGAGAAGCCATCATGTTCAGTAGTGAACTTCAAAACTCAAAAGTGAAAAACACGTTGGCGTCTGCGTCATCAGCCCTTATTGGACACAAGTCAGGCTACAGCAGCTGCAGACCATCATTTAAAATCAAGAATTCAACTGAGTTTTTTTGTTAAGTTGATAAAGCAAAAACACAGAAAATAAACGGAGCTATAAATTTTCATCATCTGTGCTAGCATAAACCAACTCATATATAAATGTCTAGTCAAAGGTGTGAGGGATATGCAGTTTTATTATTCATGTCAGACCACTGACCCATTTCTTTCACTATGACTTGTTTCGAGGGTTTTTCCCTCTGGGAGAGATGATTCCTGAAGCAGAGTTGAGAACTGGCTTCCATGTAGTTTGAGAGCATGACATCAGGACGTAAGATTTCATTTAGGGGGTAGAAGATGGTAAAGGTGCTGGACTTCTAGATGGCCAACTGCGGCTCGAGTCCTGGACCTGGCAGCTTGAAATATCAAGCCAGGTGTGTGTGCATGCGGACCCAAATCCCAGGAGGAGAAGGAAAAAGGGACTGTCGCATGGCCATCCCCTAGAGGGTGATTTTTTTTTTTCCACTTTTCCTTTCACTATCTCTGTCTCTCTTCAGTGAGCACATGCACATCTTATGGCAAAAACTTAAAAAAAGAGAGAGAGAGAGACTTTAGTTATTTGCTCATTAAAGTCTTCATTATTATTAAGGGCAAGGCTATCTCTTGATTAACATACTGAATATCTATTTCATAAATATATTAAAATATCTTTTTTTACTTAAAAACAAATTTAACAGGATCAAACCATAGAACATTAACTTCAGAAAGAACCTAATCCCAGCACCAGCAGGTGATGTGGTGGTTAAGGTGCTGAACTTCCACATGGTCAACAATGGTCTTGGGCCTGGAGGCTTAAAAATCACACCAGGTAAGGAGCAGGCAGGTGGCATGGTGGTTAAGGGTGCTAGAATGCCACATGGTCGACCATGGTTTGAATCCCAGACCTAGCAGCTTGCTTTGTCACTCCCCCCCCACCTCTCTCTGTCCCTCTCTGGTCAAAATTAAAAATAAAAAATAAAGTTGGGACCAGCAGTTAATGTAATGGCTACATCGCTGGACTCCCATGTAGCTGACCGCGGTTCGTGTCCCGGACCTGGTGAATTAAACTCACGCCGGGCGTGTGTGCATGAGTGCCCAAGATCCCAAAAGGAGAATGGAGGAGAAGGGATTGCAGTGTGGCCATCCCCCCTGGGGGGTGATTTCTTGCTTTCTCTCTGTCTCTCTGTCTTTCTCTTTCTGATGAGTCTACCCACTCTATAGCAAAAACCTCTCAAAAGAAAAACAAAAATCACACCAGATAAAAGTGCTTACATGCCCGGAATCCCAGGAAGAGGATGGAGGAGAAGGAATTGCAGCATGGCCATTTCCCTTAAGGGGAGATTTCTCACTTTCCCACTCACTATCTGTCTCTGTCTCTCTCCATAGAGCACACATGCCCTATGGGAAAAAACCTTTAAAAAAAATCCAGTCTTATCATTTAACTGAAATGGGACAAGGGAGATAAGGTCTGAAAAGGCTGAACTAAACTCTATTAAATGTAAGGCACTCAAAATATCAAGAATTCTTTAGGGTCAGAGACAATGATTTCTTTTATTGAATTGCCAGGGGGCACTTGGTTTGACCCTTAAATTATATTGATATTTGAATATGTGTGTTATAAATTTCTGATGTCTCCTAGCATATGCCACTATACAGTTTTATTAATAAATGAAAAGATATAGGGTCAACAGGTGGCATTGTGGTTAAGATGCTGGACTCAGACCCAGCAGCTTGAACTCATGCTGGGTGCATGTGCACGTGTACAAACCCTAAGAGGAAAATGGAAAAGGGATTGCGTCATGGCCAACCCCCTCAGGAGTGATTTCTCACTTTAGGTCTGTCACTCCAATGAGCTCAAATGCCCTATACCAAAAATCTTTTTAAAAAATAAATAAGAGGCAAGCAGATGCAAAGTGGTTATGTTGCTGGACTCCCACGTTTTCAACCATGGTTCGAGTCACGGGTCCGGTGGCTTGAAAATCACGCCAAGCCTCTGTGTGTGTGTGTGTGTGTGTGTGTGTGCGTGCGCGTGTGCACCAAGTCACAGGAGAATGGAGGATAAGAATTACAACCACTCAGGTCATCCGCCCAAAGGATGATTTCTCACTTTCCCTCTCATGTCTTTCTCTTTCTGTCTCTCTCCAGTGAGTACAAATGCCCTATGGCAAAAACTTTAATAATAAAAAAAAGTCTTACTTTATATAATTCTTAGTTCTTATTATTCAGTAAGGTGTTTCTGATTTTACAGTGTTTCGGGGCCAGCAGTTGGCATGGTTGTTAAGGTTCTGGACTCCCACATGGCTGGCTGTGGTTCCAGTCCTGGACCTGGTAGCTTGAGAATCATGCTGGCCATGTGTGCTTGTGTGCCCTGAATCCCAGGAAAATGGAAGAGAAGGGACTGCAGCATGGCCATTCCCCCAAAGGGGTAACTTCTCACTTTCCCTCTCTCTGCTGAGTACATGGGACTTTTGGGAAAAAAAAAAAAAAAAAAACTTAAAAAAAAAAAAAGTTAATGAGAAAATGATGTGTACTTCAGAGAGGTTTTTGTAACTACTTTTGTTAGAATCCGGTTAAACTGACAGGGCCTATACTGACTTTTTTATGTATATCTAAGTAAACTTTCTGTGAAGTAGACTTTTTACTCATTGTCTTTTAAGAATAGGAAACATAGCATATAAGTCTAACACAGTCAATAGCTCTGGAGGAAACAGTATTATGGTTAGTAACAGTCTCTGTTTCTCTCCAGCAAATTAAAAAAAAAAAAAAAATGAAGAAAGAAAAAAAATAAATCCAGTGGTAAGCTAACTTTTTAGAGCAAAAAAGAAAACGAAATTCAAAATTTACATCAACTGAAATTCTCTTTTTATTGACTTTAGAATATGGTTGCTAAGGCCAGGCTTGATAACTTTTATTATTTATCCTATATAAAAACAAATCCAAACATGTTCTACTATAAAGCCATTGCAAATCTTCAGGAAAAAAAGGAAAAGTGTCAGGTACTAGTCAATAATATAGGTATATTAGCAAATTATGCTCAAATAAGTATCTCCTTCAGATCAACGATTTAAAAGTGAAAATTCAGTATTGTGGTTAACCAAGTATTACTACGTATCTACCACATGGTAGATGCACAAAAAGTTATAGGCCTTGTAGGACATTCAACGAAACATCCTCCTATAGTAAATGCTTTCGTGATTTAAACTGGCAATGGCAGATTATGTTAAGAGATTTATTTATTGACTAAGTCTAATCATATTTCCTCAGCTGGCATCAATATGATTACCTACTATTTATTTAAATTGCTTCAACACTGGATTTTGAGTCTAAGTGAAATTTAGGGTTTCTTTTGTTTTGTTTTGTTTTGTTATTTTTATTTTTTTAAACAGGTCTGGACATGAGGCACAAGTGCTCACCAGAGATAGACAGTGAGTGGGACAGTGGGAAATCAACACCCAGGGAAGATGGCCACACCACAGTTCCTTCTCCATTCTCCTCCTGGGATTTTGAGCATGCACATACAAGTGCCCAGTTTGATTTTCAAGCTGCCAAGTCCAGGACTTGGCAGCCATGTTGGAGTCCAGAGCCTTAACCACCACACCACCTGCTCACCCTAAAATTCAGGTTTTTATTTAATGGTACACTGTAAAACCACAAAGTAATAAAAACTTCAATTAAAAGCTAAAATAATTTCATTTGTGAATCCCATTAGCAAGCCAAAGAATTTGCTGTTTATTTGAAGGAAATAGAACATTTTGTAATTGAGTGTTCTACAGCAATGAATTGAGATCCAAAATAAGCTAGTGGGATTTTTTTCAAAAATTGATCAAGTCACCAACTTTTCTGGAATACAGGTGTGTGTGTGTGTGTGTGTGTGTGTGTGTACACTATATAGCTATGTTTTTATAATTTTCACTTACGACATATTTCAAGATAGCTTTCTTTTTTAAAAATACAACTCTCTACAGTTTAAGTGCCTATTATTTCACAGTTTTAAATATGGTAACCTTGTTGGCTTCACGGAAGAGAACTGCAGAAAGGAGTCATAGGACAGGTAAAGAAAGTCATCTAGACAAAGGTCCTTAAGTAAGACCTGGCCTACAGTATTCAAGAGAATCTGGATGACTGGAGCTGGCAAAGTAGTATAAAGAGTTCAAACGTCACGGAGGGGGCAGGTAGAGGGAGGGATATCATAGAGAGCTTGAAGGAGGGTTGTCATAGAAAGCTTGAAAGCCAATGAAATAACTTTGGTTTTATTTTGAGTTTGCTGGGAGGCATTTATAAGGTTCTAAGAGAATGACATGGCCTGACCAAATTGGATGGCTCTGGTTGTTATGTTCAAAACAGATGGTGGGAAAAGAATGGAAACAGGGAAAAGAACAGGGAACAACTCCAATAATTCAGTCCAGAGATGCTGCTTGATGGACCAGAATGGGAAGAATGAAGGTAAGTTGCTATTTTGAATGTTTTTTCAAGGTAGAGCAAACAAAACTTCCTACTCACTGGATGTAGATAATAACAAAATAAAGAATAACTGCAAGGGTTCTTGTTAAAGACAAGAACCAGTGAAGACTGAAAGAGACTGTTTGAAAGTTAAGACAGAAAGCTCAGACATTATTCAGTATGAGACATTTACTGGATTTTACATAACCAATCTAACCAGGCTTAACGAACTATATGCACTTAAAGCAACAAGATTTATGAGATCACCAGGGAAATGAATATAAAGACAAAAGATTCAGGAAATGAATCGGGTACCCCAATGTTATGAGATCTGGAAGAAAGAGGAACCAAAGAATACTGCGAAGGTACAGCCAACTACTGCAACAGGAGGAAAAACAATAGTGTGGAGTTCTAGAAATTAAATGAAGCAAAGCATTTGAAGATGGAACGAGTGGTCAACTGGACTAATTGCTATATGAGAATTGGGGCCAACAGGTGGCATAGTGGTTAAAGGTGTTGGACTCCCACATGGCTGACCATGGTTCAAGTCCTGGACCTGAAGGTTTGCTTTCTTACTTTCTCTCTCTCTGTGTCTCTCCCTGGAAATATTAAAAATGATAATCAAAAATAAAGTTAAATAATTATTTAAAAATATGAGAACTGCAGTTATAACTAGATATCCTCCTCAGCTCCTAGTATGTAATCACATTATAAATCTGTTCAATTAATACACATTCAATTAAAATACAAAATAAAATATTAAATGATTAAATTTTCTTTAAATACTTCTCTTTTTCTTGGAGAGGTTTTCGCTATAGGGCGCGTGCGCTCGCCAGACAGAAAGAGACATAGAGACAGAAAGCGAGATATGGCCCACCAGTGGAGATGGTCACGCCACAATCCCTTCTCCTCCATTCTCCTCTCAGGATCTTGGGCACCCACGCACACGTGCCCGGCATGAGTTTTAAGCCATCGGGTCTGGGACGCGAACCGCGGTCGACTACGTGGGAGTCCAGCGACATAGCCATTACACTAACTGCTGGTTCCCTAAATACTTCTTTTTTCAAGTGTGGGATTTTGTTATTGGGCAAATGTGCTCACTGCAGAGAGAGAGAGTAGGAGAGAGACAGAAAGTGAGAAAGCTCCCCTATGAGGATGACCACAACACAATCCCTCCTCTTCCACTCTCCTCTTGAGATTTTGGCATACATGCACATGCTCCCAAGGTGTTTTTCAAGCCACCAGGTCTGGGACTCAAACAGTGCAGTCAGCCATGTGGGATCTAACTGCTTTAACTACTACACCACCTGACTGGTCCAGGAAGGTGATTCAATAAGTACCTGAGATGCCAAAACTTAAAACGCTTTATATGTAAAACCCAGAGAAAAGAATCCAGCAACTCAGAATGATTACTGTGCATTATTAACATAACAAATTAAGAATAACCTGCATCACTTCTGATTCTGAAGTCTCTTTATTTGAAAATATTAAAGAGCCCAATAAATCCTTGACCAACATGATCTTACCATAGAAGTGCTTAATGAAACCTAAAAAATCTTTTCATTACTTTATTTATTTATTTATTTTTATTTTATTGAAGTTGACCAGAGAGAGAGGAAAAGTGAGAAAGCAAGTTGCCAGGTCCAGGACTCGAACCACAGTCAAGCCATGTAGGAGTCCAGCCACCTTTACTACCATGCCACCTGCCAACCCCAAACCTAAAAACATCTTAAAACTCTTTTTCAAAAAGCATGTCATACGGAATGCATACTAATCAGATTAGCCCTTTCAACCTCTTACATACATGTAGACCTTAAAGAAACACCAAATGTTCATGCCCAGCAGGTGGAGTGGTGGTTAAGGTACTCAATCCCACATGGCCCACTGCACTGCTAGACTCTCAGACCTGGCAGCCTGAGAAACACTCTGGACATGTTTGCATGCATGCCCAAAATCCTGAGAGGAGAGTGGAAGAGAAGGGACTGCAGCATGGCCATCACCCCAAGTGGTAATTTCTATTTTTTTAAGAATTATTTTATCTAACTTCATTTATTTATTTAATTTTAACCAGAGAGGAATGAGAGAGAGAGAAAGAGAAAGAGAGAAAGTAAGAAGGCAAGCTGCCAGGTCCGGGACACAAACTGTGGTTGGCCACATGGGAGTCCATTTTTTTCTTTTAGATGTTGTCATAGGGCAGGTATTCTAATGAGAGAAAGAATATGAATGTAAGAAATCACCACTTGGGGGGCCGGCAGGTGGCATAGTGGTTAAGGGCACTGGATTCCTACATAGTCAACTGTGGTTCGAGTACCAGAACTGGCAGCTTGCTTTCACACTTCACCCACCTCCCTCTCTGGTCAAACTGAAATGAATGAATAAATAAAGTTAAAATTTAAAAATACTAATTCTTTTAAAAAATTAATTTATTTTTATAATTATTTTAATTTGCTATGAGAGAATGTGTGACAGCAAACCACCAGGTCTAAGACTAGAACTGTGGTCAGCCATGTGGGAATCTAGTGCTTTAACCACTATGCCACCTACTGGCCCCAATAATATGATTTTTTAAAGAAGTTTACGGGTCCAGACAGTGGAGTGGTTAAGACGACTGGATCCCAGATGGCCAATGGCATGGTTAGAGATCGAGACCCAGTGACTAGAAAAACACACTGGGCATGTATGTGTGTGCCCAAAATCCTGAAAGGAGGAAAGGGATGAAGAAGGAATTATAGTGTGACCATCCCCCATGAGGAGTGCCTTCTCACTTTCCTTCTGTCTCTTGAGCAAGTGCAAGTGGCCGCCAGCAAATTTAAATAATTAAATAAAAATGATTTAAAAAAAAAAAAAAAAAAAGGTCTAGTTACCAAACTTCCATTCAGTTGCATGAATGACTCTACCTGTTTACATCCGAATCAAAGAAAATATCATTAACCACTATTTTTTAAGCTATCTTTAAACAGGTAGATATTTCATTTTTCTTTTTTTCTTTTTATTTTTGAGAGTTTTTTGCTATAGGGTGTGTGCGCTCACCGGAAAGACAGAAACAGAGAGACAGAAAGCGAGAAATCATCCCCTGGGGGGATGGCCACACTGCAATACCTTCTCCTCCATTCTCTCAGGATCTTGGGCACACACGCACACGCACCCGGCGTGAGTTTAAGCCACGGGGTCCAGGACTCGAATCACAATCGACTACCTGGGAGTCCAGCGACATAGCCATTATGCTAACTATTGGTCCCCAGATAAAGACATTTCTGAAATTTCTATTGTAGCATATGAAATTCAATTTAGCTCCCCCGCAGAAACTTTAATCTCATTAAAATAAAAAAAAAAACACCTTACTTGACAACCTACGAAGTGTTTTGCTACACCACTTCTAAACTACTATACATCAACTAGTTAATTATTTTAGTACCTATGATACATTTGTGTTAGGCATTTTTAACACAAAGATGTTCAAAAGACATGGTCCAGTCCCTAAATTTTAGTAAGAAGTCAGTAGGGATGAAAACAAAGGAGGAGAAGGAATAACTGAAATGGGTTTCACTGACCTGGAAACCCATAGACAATTCAGAGGTCCTGAAAAGGGAAGAGGGTACCCTGAGGTGGGAGAAGAGAATAAACAATACAGAGATAAGACAGGCAAGCAAGCGTGTGTTCATTCACTCAGTGCTCACATTAGTGCCAGGCTAAATATATTCATTCACTCAGTGCTTACATTAGTGCCAGGCTAAATATTTACTGACCACCCACATTGTTGCAGGCAAACAGCTAGGATTACTATGTTCTCTCATTTAATCCTCACAATGTATTATAAAACCTGCTTGTTATTCTCTTCTACTGATGAGCGAATAGGCTCAAAAGGTAAAGACTTGCCCAAGATTACACAGATACATACAATGCAGCAAAGTGTGAGGTCCAATCTTCAAATCTCAACTCTTATGCCCCTCACACCCCATCTATTACTTTTGTTTTTGGAAGGGGGGAGAGGTTTTAGCTATAGGGCACATGCCCTCACCAGAAAGACAGATAGACAGCAAGAAATCACCCCCCCAGGGGCGGGGGGTGGCCACATCGCAATCCCTTCTCCTCCATTCTCCTCTCGGGATCTTGGGCACGCACGCACATGCACCCGGCGTGAGTTTAAGCCACCAGGTCCAGGACCCGAACTGCAGTCAACTATATGGAGGTCCAGCGACACAGCCATTATGCCAACTGCTGATCCCCCATCTATTACTTTTAAGTGGGAACTGAGCTGGAATAAGTCAGACTAGTGAACACAGATGTTAGTTTTCATCAGGAAAGAAAAGATCCCAATGTGGAGGGATAAGTGAGGATTTCATGTCATTGGTACCTGGGAACCATGATATGAACCCTGAACAGAACCAAACCAGTATTTTTCTGAAGACAAGTTTTCACAGCTACAAGCAAGAGTAACTGAGAAGAGACTTACTAGTATTAGAGTTCTGCTTAGAAGGCCATTGAATGATTTTAAAAACAAAATACAGAATAACCAAGGTATGATAATGGCTAGAATCTCTGAAAAAAAAATGACAATGGAAAATAATGATAATAGGTTCCTAAGTAAGTGATAATTCAGAATATGATCCTTATTTGCAGATGATGGGTGGTAAATCAAACAGAATTAAAACAAACAAACAAACAAACAAAACAAAACACAAAAAAATATTAAAAAAAAAAAGGGGGGGGGACCAGCAGATGGTGTAATGGTTATGTCAGTAGACTCCCACATAGTTAAATGTGTTTCAAGTCCCAGACCCGGTGACTTAAACTCATGCTTGCCGTGTGTGCATTGAGTGCCCAAGATCCTCAAGAGAATGGAGGAAAAGGGATTGCATCATGGCCATTTCCTGTGGGGGATGATTTCTCACTTTCTGGGAGGCACTGGACACTCCCACATGGCCAACCACAGTTCAAGTCCCGGACGTGGTGGCTTGCTTTCTCCCTCCCACAAACACACACACACACACACACACACACAC